TAATCCGCCCATTTGATCGTCGGAGTGAAACCCGTAATGGAGCTCGAGAAATTAGACGCGTCCCAATGTAATTTGCCGTTACGCTGCTGGTCCTGGGACATTAGTCGTCACTCGGTTGGGCACATGAGCAGTTTTGTACCTTATGTCATTCCATCAGTCTTCGCTTGATCGTACGTTATCCATCTGCGGGGAATATCCAATATTCACTGTAAACCGCATATTTTCATCTCAATGCGGGAAAACGTCTTGATTTCAACGGCATCAGAACAAATCTCTTAGTGGATTCATGTTCATTACGAATTGATTTTTCGACTGTGTTCGACAAAAACATGTTGACAATAATTTCTGACTAGACGATTTTAGAAAAGTGACATTCATACGATTTGGGGGCGAAGCCTCATGAAATTTCGAGTTTTAGGTAGAATTGAAGGGAATTTGAATAGTTTCACATAAGAAGAAGATGGGAATTTCACGACTTACTTAAAGTTTCAATTGAGCATGAATTTTCAGTTTCAAAAGGAGGTGAATTTTTAATTAATTCAAATTAAAAAACAAGTCGACTCAAATTGTCCTGTCTTTTTCCAATTTTCTTTCAATAATTGAACTGAAATTCACAATTGTCGATGTAATATTTCTCTGAAATTTCACAGGAATTTTACGACATTTTAAAATTTTAAAAGTAAACTTCATTAAAATTTTCAGGTTTGTTGAATATAAAAGAATTCAATTTCCTGTAATTTTCTACGTTTTCTATAAATTTTTTTTAATGATAACTAACTTTCATGCTGCCACAATTTTTTTATGTTTCCAGCAAATTAATTTTTTCTTCAAGTGTGAAACTAGAATTTTCTCATAAACTCGAACTATAACGACAGAAGTTTTCCCACGAATGCATAAACCTTCATGTAATGCCATTTAATCAATGAGAAAAGCTAATTCAAACACTTGGTAAAGTTTCCCCAGGCTTTCAGCCGACGGTGCCTTCAAATCAGTTTGAATACCTTGCGCGTGGTTTCTGCTGTCGTATATGCCAATTAAGAAAATGTCTAATACCAAAGAGGAACTCGACAGCTTGTGGTTGAAGTGGTTGTAATACCCTTAGCAGGAAGGTGTGGGTGGGATTGCGGGGCGGAAAGAGTGGGTAGTGAGTAGCATCTGGACGCTCTTGAATGAGCGAAAACGTGGGGACTGAGAAGCTGGAGAAGAAGACATCACGTTTCATCTATGCATTTCTATTCGGAATCAATGGAAATACGAACATTAAAAGTTGAGAAAGTTGCGAAGGTCGTTATATAAGCAGGAGGGGATACAAGAGAGTGTCGGACGTATTTCTAAAGCGTTGGAATAATACGAGCAATTGAATGAAGAATATATAGATCTGTGTGGGAGATCAAGAGCGCCCGCTCCTAGCTCCCCCTATACTACTCTTGTCCGCATTCACTCACTCTACTCGGCTCCACCGTTGAGACAAATCCCTTATAAAGACGTGATAATATATTGTTATTTAACAAGTGCGCTGAAAATAAAGTTACTTTTGCCAAGGAATTATTCTCTTCGGAGAAAAATTTATTTTTTTAGGAGCGTATTTCCTCGGGCTAGTCATTCCCTGGTGGTCCATGTCCGTCTCCAAATATCACAATTGTGTTGAATTATGAGATGATTATGCTGCAGATGACCTTGAATGAACAACGTTCTTTATTTTTTAATTTTTCCAAAATTAAAAATTTTCTTACGTAAAATAATTTGGAATAATCCTAAATGTTAAGCATTGTCAATGGAACATTGAACTGCACTTCCTCAAATAGAAACCTCAACCTATAACACGTGATTTCGAAGCACCCCAAACAAATTCGATTTTTTTGCTGAATTTTTGAGATTTTCCTAGATTTAGATTTCCTCCCTAAACTCGAAAAGTTCATTTGCTCATAGGACTCTGTGTTATTTCGTCACTTCTAAATTAATTATTTCCAATGACACTATTTACATTAACTCCCATTCAGAATTTATTTCAGATTTTAATCTTCCAAATTTGACGCATGTTTGTACTACTTCAGTCATGATAAGAGAAAGATCTTTCCAAATTTTCAAAGCATATCTCTTAAATGTTTTACATTCCATAAATGCAGTGAGCCAAGATATGTATTTACGAAATGACCATGCACTCCACGAGGAAACATGATGATAAAAGTGAAGTAGAAACTACCAGAATAAACGCTCCATATAGACAACGGCTCTCCTAGACTGGACGGCGCTAAGTTCGTTGCGCTTTCCCAGGAGTAAACAAAGCTGTAACTCTCCTCACACTCAGGAATCAATGCTCCTAGAGTTTTCAAGAGGGAAAACAAAGCCACGAGAATCAACATTCATCTTACTTCCCGTGGATTCCGTGTATATCGATGTGAACCCATGATACACTTGGGGCGAATAGGAAAAGAAAGGCGGGGAGAGATGAGACAGGCGGCATCAGAGAGTGATGGAGGAGGAATGAACGGGAGGAGAAAAGTTCTTTGCTGGTGAATTGAGTGAGTTAGACTCCGTTGGGATGACTGCATCCATTTTTCTATTTTATACTGACATATCTATTCGACAGCGTATTACTTTTTATAGTTTGAAAATACTAGGGAGTAATCCGGTTTACCACTCTGTGGCGGAATAACGAATGTACTTCTGCGGTTATTGACGACGTATTTAGGTTACGGTTTATGCTTTTCCGTTCGAAAAATTTTTGGCGTTTTATTATGACTGATATTCGTGTCGTTCCTGGGAATTGAGTGATTTTTTTTTTATTGAGTGAAGCTTTCGTCATTTTATTGACTTGATAATATCATTTATGTATTTTGAAATTATCATTAGTCAAAGGGAGAACGCTGAGTGGAGGGGAAAGTTCAAGATGAATTGTACAGAAAGAATTATTCTAAAAATTTATACATTTTCCGAGCAAAATGAGGAAATTCTGGACAAAAGAACATAGGAATAAAGTAGATCTAGGACGGTATCCAGCTTCTAGTAGAGCTCAAAGGATTTCTTCTGATTGTGAGAATTAATGAAAAAATTAGAGAAAGAAAGCGTGATGTAATTATCAGAATACCGCGTATGAATATTCATCAAATATTTACTGGGAATCGAATCAAGATGAAGGCTTTTGACAAGATCTATTAGCGTAATAACTCCGGTGAATGTAGGTAACACCCACATGTGGGCAGAAACATTACGGTTGGATACAGAATATGAAAGTGTTGAAGCAGATCATGGCGGCGAGTGAGTTTTTCCGCGAGGACTGTTGAAAGAGGGATAAAAGTGGAGGAAAAATAGGTGGCCAGGAGGTAACCCACCACCCAGCTTCTTATTTCTCTCGGGAATGCATTGCTCCTCGCACTGGTGGCGCGCATAGGTGGACCTGGATATACCCGTTATATGTTCCAGAGATCGGAACTCACTTTTCCGTTCAACGGAAGAGCATACATATTTCATGCTGCTGCTGGATGAGAAGCGGAGGAAAGGATGAACCCCTCCCTCGCCCCTTTGTCGCCGCTGTACACGTAATGCACATAGACAGGATAATAAAAATGGCAAGAATAAAGGATATGCATGGACTTGTGTGCTTGACTGAATTCACTACAAGTTTTGCCGGACGAAACCCTTCTTCTTCCACTGATATTGATACTTATTGTTTGATACTCGACGGAGATTTATGATCTTTTCAAACATTGATGGCGAATGCCGTGGAAGTTTATATTATTTCAGACATGGACGGATGTACGATAAAACGTGGATGCGACGCCGAATGACAGTTTATGTATTCCAACGGTCTTTTGCCTGAGCCGAAGATTCAAGAGTGAATATATCACACGGAAAAATCTAAACGTAAATTACGTCTTGCTAAACGTAAATTACAAACAAACAAAGCGTCTTTTACGTTTCACTAAGCGTATTTCACGCATAAGAAATCGTAAATTACAATGTTAACACTCAGAAAAAAAATTACAGTTGCCAAGTAAACTTACTTGGCAGAAGTAATTTTTTTTCTCAATGTAGAACCGTATTTTCCGATTGACTTATGTGTAATTTACGAAAAAAATATGGTATTTTGTTCTTGCAATAATTTTTCTTTTCATTGTTAATCGCGGAGGAGTAACTGTAAAATATGGAAAAAATGATCATACTTTAGTAATGCGAAACCGTAAATTATATTTATGTAATCGTAATTTAAGGCGATTTTAAGCGTAATTTACGCTTTAACTTCAAGCGCAAATACGCTTCCAAAGGAGATTCCGCAATTGCCAAAATAATCGAAATACAGTTGAATGATTGATGCAAACAACTGTACGCGTCGTGTTAATCCTGCGTTGCGTTTATGGTGGAATCTCCTTTAAACGTATTTTACGTTTAGGTTTTGCTGTGTGCATTGGTTGAAAAATTTTGAATAAATTTGATGGGCTTTGTTCGCAAACCGCTGACAGGTTTTTAATTGCTGCAGTGATAACGAATAATTCGACATTTTCAATATTGAATCGTGTGAAAACGCGAACTGATTGCCGTGGCGGTGAATACATTTTCTTTCAATGCAGTAACAATACCGTTTCAGTGATTTTTTTCTCATTATTTGTGGGAAATAGAGCGAATATAACGTCCTTTCATGGAAATTGTATGGCGTTTCTTTAATATAACAACGATCTGCGGTGATATTCTTTGAAGTAGAATTCGTATTAGGGCGATAGCTCTTCATATTGTTCGTAAAATACTATTCGGAAAATACTGACATGCTCATTAAATTATTTTGCAACCAACGAAAGCGGATAGTAGAAGGAGAATAAATTACATGAATTTTACAAATATAATCCGAGTATTAAGGTCTAGCAGTAAAAATTTAATTTCATTCACAAATCATACAACAAAATTTCACGAATCATAAATAAAAACTCTGAACTGGGCGAAGCAAACGCATAAACCGGATAAACCCAAACTACTCGCTCACTCCGAAATTCTATTTATGCTTTTAGGTAGCCTGGATGTTATTCGACAAGAGTGCAATTCTCACAGTCCACAATCACGTGATAACGAGAAATCCCAGGATATCAGTGACCCATGACAAACACAGAACCTGGTACTTGCATATTAATAATGTCCACGAGGATGATAAGGGCAAGTACATGTGTCAGATCAATACAGCTACAGCAAAGACGCAGTATGGTTTCTTAAATGTTGTTGGTAAGTATTTTACCACTCTATTCTTTTATTCTGCGAACGTATTTTTCACCCGCGAGCTGCACGAAACGCTTTCCGCTCTTCTTATTCATCTGAGAGGGTTTTTTTTTTATTTTTGATTTAGAGTTATGTATTCTCCGATAATATTGATGACATTCCGCAAATTTGAAGTCCAAAATGACCCTGATAGCGTGGAAAATGACGTCGATTCAGAAGACCGAAGGAACAATTTGACAATTTAATTTGAGTTTTCAATGAAAATCAATGAAAACATGAATATACTGTTTGAACAAATTGAAAATTCGACAAAATATTTACACAAATTTGATTAATTTCTATTGATTCACGGAACAGTTTGTGGTGACTGTGTCTCCACTGTGCCTCTCCCTAAAATATTCATTCGCGCAAAACAAACAAAATTTCCGGCCGACATTTGCATTTAAATGACTAAAATCACTCCATCTCTCTGACACAGAAAATTAAAACTTAATCCGCATGTTTCTGGTATTGAACTAATAATATTTACAGTTTTTATTGATTGTTCCATAAAATTTTGTATTTCCAACGCCGGAAATTCGTGAAAGTTTGATGGCACGATAATGCGATAAAAATGACTAAAAGCATTGTATATATACCAATGGATTAAATTCAAATGACTAAAACAAAGTGCATGAAAGTGAAAAGACAACCATTTAATGGTCGCGCGAGTGATCCCGCTTACTCGCCATCCTGAAGGACGTATTAATACCCAGAGTTTTGACATCTGCCGTACATTATAACCGAGAAGAGCAAGCGAGAGAGTGCAATAGTGGTGGAGCAATCAGAGAGCCAGATTAATTGTTTCCATGGAACGTAAACTCGACTGCAATTCTCCACCTCTCCAGCGCGCTCCTTGACTCTACCACAGTCTCATCCTCACTTGGGTGATAATACCAACAGCCAACATAATACCAGTGTGACACAAGTCATAACTCAACGAGGTTTCTAGGCCCGTTATATTGCATCTTCCACTTCCACAGTTTCTCCGTTAAAATCTATTACATTTTCTACCTCTTCCATTGCCTCCGCTTTTCTTTTTTATTTCAACTGAAGAGAGGTGGACGTGGTCGTTCGTACAATTTCCACTCCCCACAGCTATCGTGGTCTCTCACCGCACCGCTTCTTCACTCTTTGACTCACCGTAAATAAAGTAAAACCACGGGGATCGGAGTTTTATTCGATTTAAAGCCACGAGTCGAGACTACCATCTCCTCTCTTCACTCTCACACCACCCTAAATCGTTCCAAGTTCAACTTCACTGATATATCCCAACCATTTTCGTATATACGTGCTGAATGGGCTGATTCTTGCTGGATTCCATGGTGAGGGAAAAGACTTTTCTTGGATATACACTTGTGAGTTATCGATGATCTGTATGAAATTGTCTACTTCAGGAATTTATCAGCTGAATTTGACGGTTTTATTCCACTTTACTTTTCACTTTTCAACATCGTTAATGTGCCCCATATTTGAGTATTGGAGGATGCCCCTATGGAAAGTAATATGTGTGAAAAAACGTTGATTTAAGTACTGATTTAAGTAGGCCAGGTGTAAACTGAAGTTAGAGAGAAGGGAAACTTTTCTGTTCAATTTTCAACAAAAATATTTTTTGAATAAGTGCGATTTTTACGTGCTTCACTGCAAAAACTGGTGTCCGAATTCCAGACATTGTTGTAGTTTTTTTAAATATATTCGGGACAGCTTTGTAGGCAATGAGGGGAAACCAATACATTTCTGGTGTCGTTACCAAAGCCGAAAGGGTCTGTTAATTTTCGTCGGCTTATTCGACGGATTTTGCTGCAATAAAAATGCTATTATTTTCAGACATAAATTACGTTCGAAATTTTCAGGCGTCAGTCCAATATGCAAACCCTTTTAATTATTCCGATGTTTTTATACTATCTGACATTTTAAATTCAGACGGTTTTCAAACTCAGAATTTTGAAATTCAAAGATTTTCGTGTCGAGATATTTCATTTGAATGTTCTCTGACATTTGACATTAACCCAAATTTCTTGGTGCTAATTAACAGCGGTTTGAATGAGTGAAATGACGCTTATGGAAGATTAGACGTGGTGCACTGTTCAAATAATTTGCCCGGATTTTCTGGAAAAAAAACCTTGAATTAGATTTAAGTAAAAAAAGTCAATGGAATTTCAAGTTTTTCGGAAGATTCAAGTAAATTGCCAACTTTTTAGCGGCAGAAAGACGAAAATTCCATAATTTAATTCAAATTCCCTGAAGATTCATAGAAATCTGGAATTCAAGGAGAGATTTCTCTGAGCTTTCCTCATTTTTTACTAATTTTCCCGGAATATTTAAAATAAAACTTACGGCCCCGGATTGTTCCATTAAATTCTAAATTTTCAATGACATAATTCCTTGAAATTTCATGGAAAACGTTACACACTAGAATTTTCCAAGGCCCTTACCGGAAATTTCAGTGGAGAACTTTTACCAGTGCGGTAGAGTTTTCAACGTCTGAGATATACTGACAGCCGGGGGAGTTCACAATTGTCCAAAAATTTACTTACGCAATACTTGAGCAGTCCTTATTGATCTAGAGGCAACTTCAACATCACGATTTTCCCCCTCGACTACGAAAAGTAAATTGAGGCATCGAATTTGGCTTAAAGTCGAAAGACTGTAACCGAGAATCGGATTACCTGTCACTCGCAATACAGCCGGGGTGGATAATATTAGAGAGTTATCCCGTAGATGAGGCCTGTCAGTTACAAGACTATCGAGCTATTCAGAGCTTTTCGTGGTAATTTCATGCAGCCAATTACAGTCCCCGTCGTCGGAGAAGTTTCAAAGGTAGGGAAGAAAGTTTTCTGGGTATAAAACCCGTGAAATAGTTTCTTGTAAAAAGTCGAGGGAGGAAATTCAGTCCTCATCGATCCGACGAATTGAATCATTCTGTGTTCAAAGGTAGAGCAGGCGTACGAGTGTTATGTCTCACTCATCCTCAGTGCCGTCGTAAACATCTACCCGAGAACTCACTCCGATAGTTATTCCCATTTCCGTCTGCGGATGCGTGCATCGAAAAGTTATTTGCTTTATTCCCCATTCCTTTTCTATTTCTTTTCTTCAAACGCCATTTCCCTGCCTCGTTCTTCATACAGGGGAGAAATATACAAGGGTGAAGAGAATCACAACTTTGTTGCGAATGTTCAATTCACCAATTCACTTCATTTTTTGCTCTCCTCAACCCCTTAGTTTTGAAAAGTCACGGGGATTTATTGGAATATCTACCCGTGAATACGTGCCGCACAACTTGTCATACGGTATTAATATCCGTCTGACCATTCATCATGCCATTGAAGGATATCCAAGTACTTTGGCTATTTTTACTCCAGTGAAATGCTTTTCTACTTTTGTAGACGAACATCTTTCATTTGAGCCTCATTTCAGCCCAAGTTTTCAGATAATTTACAATAATTTTATTATTTATAAACAATCAAGCTTTCACCATAAAAATTATGAAATGAACACTTGTTTTCCATTCACACCAACTTTATTTCAATCAAATAAATGAATCCGTCGGACTTAAATGGATCTGGTTCGACGACTAATACCAAAGGACACAGAACAATAAAATTATCCGGGGAAAATCGAACAGCCTTGTGGCGATAAAACCTTACCGCGCCCACATTTACATTTCTCTGGAAAGAACATTTTAATACGCTCCAATACCCATCGTCACTCCAAGGTTCGTTAGTCCTCCTCAAGTGGCCAATTACTGATCTACCCATTTCGTTATATACGTACGAATCGATATTTACAGTTTTTCCTCGTTCGCTTTTCTTCCGTTCTTTATTCAAAAAAAGAATCTCCACTTGTATCATTCATTCATTTTTTGAATTTGTATTCCCTCTTTGGCCTCGCTTTGTAGCTCTTACTTTTGCCTCTACTCTCATAGTTTATTCTCAAGCTACTAGAAAATTCCCTCGCTTTTTCATGGCTTTATTGTACGTAATTCAGTGGAGACCTGCTTCCCAAGTTTTAAGGCGAGAGAGTTTAACGCAACTAACCACAATAACACACGTGGTAATGTTGTAGTGGCTGAGTGCCTGAATAATGCATCACTGCAGCTTTTGGTGTGGAAGACCACCGTATGGATAACAACAGAATCCTCAGGGGGTGGGACCCGAATCGTTCAATCTGAAGTTGTTTCTACAATTGGGCAACACAGTTTGGCATTAACATTAATGTCGGGATATTGGCGAGCAGTGGAGACAATTCGGGGGGATCCCGGAACGTCAAACTTCTCTGGATTCTCTTGCACTAGAGCTTCTGAGAGGAGACGCTACATGGGCAGCGAAATATGCACGCGAACAATTTTTTTTACTTCTGCCAGAAAAAACTATCATTAGAATGAAGATTGACTTGTAACAATAAAAATTTCAGTATCACGATGGTTTTTAAAAAGATTTTCAGCATATTTCGCTCAGTAAATTTGGAAGTTCGAAACTTTCAATTTTCCCATTACACTGTTAGAAATATTTTGAAATTTCGTGGAAAATATATGATAGTAATTCTCATGAGAGTGACATTGAATTGTATTTAGGGAAAAAATGGCAATGAAATTTCAAGTTTTAGGTAGAATTCAAGGAAATTCATGACTTTTTAGTGAATGAGATGGAAATTTCACAACTTGATTTAATTTTCAGTGAAACATGAATATTCAGAAACAGAATTTTCCTGATGTTTCGGAATTTTCATGAAATAATTGAACTGGAAATTCAAGTATTTGCAGATCATTCGAACAGAAAATGAATGGAATCTTCGATTTTTCAATGACTATTTCCTGAAATTTCAATGAAAATTAAACACGATAAAAATTTCCATGATGTATGATGAGAGGATAAAAATGATCGATAGCAGAAGTTGCAATACGAAGAGTGAAAATTTCTTCCTACATTGAAAAAAAAATCCTAATATCTGAAACGTATTTACTCGAGACCAGTAATTTTTCTTCAATCGCTTAATTCTCCCAGAAATCTCAACTCACGTGGCTTGTCAGAAAGCCATTGAAAATAATTTACTTCTCTCAATCTCTGGGAAATTTTTCTCCCAGTGTACCCGGGATGGCTGATTTAATCTGCCATTTTTGAAAATTCATGACAGCAATGGAGTTTCATCATTAGGTCCACAAAATATTTTCCAACAAACGTGACTTTATAATCCGAGCGAACGGTGGCTTCCGTTAATTTTTTCATGTTTTTGGCGCTTATTCCATTTGATCTGTGTTCATAGATACTCGGTGGGATTATCATGCAATTTGCCCTGTTGAAAGAGACTATCATACATCGTGTCACTCCTCTTTTTTTGGGGATTCAAAGTCACTTTGGTGCTTTGCAGTTTTAATAGCGTTTTCGGGCTGGCGAAAACACCTCTCTATCAGTGAATTGTTTCATTTTTGAGGAGGATGAAGAATGAACATCACCGGAGTTTTGTTTATCACGTTTGAACGTCTCTATACATTATTTTTTGTTCAATGATGGATTGCCGGAATTACGATACTTCAGGGATTAAACGTTGAATGATCGCAGCTGATCGCTGCACGAAAGAATTCCTTGGTAAAAGTAATTTTGTTTTTTCAGTGTACTTAGTGTGCAAAATAATGCATTGGTTCAGCATATTGATGGAATTTCTGTACAACTCATACATGAAGGAATATCAAATTCTCCACTCGTTTCTCCCTTTGCATTATTGTTTCGATTGACTCCAGTCCACGTACTCCACAAAAATCGTTTCACGTGCAGAAGAAACGATGTGCACTAGAAATATGGGAGTGCATACCAAACCCATCAGCGCAGTACCACAGGCTTTCACTCACTTCGGAATGAAATGATTCTAGTTTCCATACACGTAGTCGTAATCCTCACCATACATATACACGAGATAACTGGATATATTTCATCTCAGTGTCTGTTTAATATTTCTCCCATTCTTTTTCATTTTCAGTTCCACCGAATATCGACGACTCGCAGAGTTCGTCAGACGCGATCGTGCGAGAGAATGCAAACGTCACACTGACGTGCAAAGCAACTGGAAGCCCAACCCCAATTATACGATGGAGACGTGACGACAGTGAGAATATTGCTATAAATAGATCATTAGAAGGTGAGCGAACTCATTGAATTTTCGTGCTATGAAATTTGAATGATGAGAGTGGATTTTATGATTGCATTCGTTCGTTTATGATTTTTTAGTTGCTGAGTGGGAGGGCGAGACCCTGGAGATAACGCGCATTTCTAGACTCGGAATGGGAGCGTATTTATGCATTGCCAGCAATGGAGTACCACCTGCTGTTAGCAAACAGATCAAAGTATCAGTCGACTGTGAGTATATGTTTCGATTTATATTCTGTTTTCTCTCTCTTTTTGTGGGTGATGGAACAGCATGTATTTATCTTTGTTCTTGATATGTATGTAGTGGAGGGTAAGGCGAGAAAATCCATGGAGGAGATATTCTATTGACCTAGGAGATTGAACATCAATTGCTAAATATTGATGAAATTGCAGGGAGAGGAAAATGTTGCGAAAAGCAGTCTGAGGCGGATTATTACACGAATAGTGAAATATGTTTTCGGACAGTTTTTCAAATGTTAGACAAAAGATATAGGTTCTGATTTCATTTTATTTCTGAACAATCCCATGAAAATTATGGAGAGGACGATAAATATCACAGTATTTTGAGTTAATTTTTGTATATAATAGTAATTTTTGGCTGGAGTTTCCATTATATTTCTTGAAATTTGTCATCAAGTGATAGTTTCACTAATACTTCGAGGAATTTCATGATTGAAAATGCATAATTCGACGAAAAAATCAATGACGACCGTCAATTACTTCATGATAATTAACAGGAAATCAGGAAAATTGTATATTCAATTTATAGCTAACAGGCTTTGTAAATTGGTTTCTAATGCTTAATGAAAAAAATTAATATAAATATATTTTTTAATTTTTAATCAATAAAAAATTCAGGGTAATCCGATACTGCATCCTCATGTTTTAATTAAAAATTCAAGTAATTTGAGAACGCACATTTCTCTGCTGCTCAAAAATTCGGGATTCCTTTGAATTTTCAGTAATATTTGATACTCTTGAAAATCACTACTGAAATGTCCCGACAATTTAAATTTCTCTTCTGATATTCTTCAACATTCACAACCAAAAATAGCAAATTTCATTACATTCCGGTTCTGCCTCTCGATTACATTTTATTCTGTAATTTTAATCCGTATCTTCACGACAATTTGTATTGAACCTTTTTCTACGTGTAAGAAATTGAATTATCGATTATATTCATTCGGAATGGCGCACCACTGAGGCATTGTAATTGGAAGAGCCAAGGAGAATTTCATTCCTTTAGAAATTGGATTACTTCAAAACTTCAATATTCTCTTCATTTACTCACATAGAATCACCGCAAGGCAAATGGAAATTTTAATTCAACTCCTTTATGACATTTCATTTCAAAGGGGTCACGTTCAATCGAGTAATGATAAATTGGCTGAGATTGAAAGGATTGAGTCCTGCCCCGACAAATTGGGATAGATATTAAAATATTTTAATTGCTCCAGTTTCTGCATACAACTCGAACTTTCATTCAATCAAAAATTCCCATGATATTCTTCATATTCTTCTCAACTCCAGTGAACCGAACTGACCGCAAGCATTAGACAGTCAACTTACAAAAAGTTGGTGAGATCTATGTCAACAAGTTCGTCAATTGATTCATAAATTAACTCTCAAGAAAATGTTGAAAATTCAAATCGTACGAAAACGTGAAATGCTAAGTCCAAAATAAACGCTTTTCATTTGCCCAAGAGATCGTGAAAAGCGAAGTCGAACCTGAAAAAACAGGACAGACAGAAGAGGGAGAAAAGCTATAACTCGAAATTAAACAATCCTTATGTTTTGTAATTTATTCCCTGGAATCGTAATACAATGGTGAATCGATATCGACAGAAGGAGAGAGTAACTGTGAGTTGTAGTCACGTATACGCGGTGATTCAACTCCACCCCATGACCTGATCCCGGTTCCTCCGACAGCCGTAGTAGCAATCTGTTATTAAAATCAGCAACGAGAAAAATCCGTGCCGTATCTTCACGTGGTCGGGGCTCCCCCTCCTCTCTCGCGCTCTCTCTCTCCCTCTCTCTCTCTTACAGTTGCAGCTTCTTTATCTATTTTTCTCACAGCCTGTCCAACGACAGACGTGTTGCAGCAAAAATTAAGCCACCTGCAAAGTTGAAACGAAATTACCAGACAGCGTCCCCTCTGGGCGCTCGGCCAGTCCCGGCGTACCCTGGGTGACGATTTTTTTTGCTAATCTCCGCTTGCTGCAACCACATCCCCCTGATACTGTGTGTCTCTCTATGTACCACCAATCTCTTTTATTTTTTTCCCACATCTCATCCCTCTTTTTCCAGTACTCTGGCCACAGCGCGATAGCTCGGGTCCACAGAATCCTGGAACGTGCCCGACTCTACGGGTTGCTTTCCCCTGAGTTTGTTCATTAAGTTGAATTTTTTGGGAGTTATCCTGGCATGGGTACGATGAGTTTGATAAATCGGAATTTTTCAATCACTTCTCGCTGAATTCCTGGCTTCAAGGTGATAATAATGTGACAACTTTCACAGAGAAACAACTAACTTTGGTTTGCGGAAACGTGTCTCTCATTTCCAGGGACTTATCACTTTTGAAAAAAAAATCTACATGGGGAGAAGGAATAAATGTAGCCAAGAACCCGGATAAACTAAAAGTAGAACCTAAATCTATGTACATAGGTAGTAATGCAAATAGTTTGTAAATAACCCACTGTAGGTTGTTACGTAAATAAAAAAAAGGGAAAAAGATTTTTTTCAATTGCATAAGGGCATGTGCCAAAATGTGCAAAATTCTGAATTTCATTGATTTTCTCACTAATTTTCGGTGACGTTATCACTATTTTCAGAGAACCATGGCTAATTATTAGGAATCTATCACCAAATTTTAGTGACCACAATCACTGATGATCAGGGTTATTTTAGTCAGTGTCCAGCATATAATCGTTCTAAATTAATTATTATCAATGATACTAGACTGCCAGTTGAGCACAAACATAATCAGAATGTTTATATGTGTACTAACTGCTGTTTAGAATTTATTGCAAATTTTAATCTTCAAAATTTGAGTTATGGTTAAACCATTTTAATAATTAAAACTTTTCATTCGATAACTTTAATTATTCGTGCAGGTCAGATGATTTTGAGGAGAAAAATTTTTAATGACACTGGTTAATTGTTCTGGAAGTCACGTACGATGTAATAACTTTCTTCATTAATAGGTGGAAAAGTAATGAGTTGGTTCAGACGCCCGCACTTGGCTCGAGTCAAAGTCCTTCGCCGTTAAAAATTCGAAAACTTCCAATTTCATTATTTTCCCGTCTTCTCTTTCGTTTATTCAATGTAAATGCAGTTTACAGCAGCTGTAAAGTCACGAGTGAGATTTTATGGTGAGACGGATTCCACGGGAGAAAAGAAACTCATCATCAGTTTTGGTGTTATTTAAATTTAAAATCAAGCTCGAATGGATCCAGCTCGTTTCTCCACTCTTTTCCCACAATGTTTACACCTTTTTTTGTGGAGTTTCTTTCTCATCCTGCTCTACAATTCACTCGTGTGTCTGTTCACCCCGCTGCAATTTCCAGCTTTCGTCGATCGTCTCACCCGCGCAAAACCCGGAAAATTCATTAACGTGCAGACTCCGTCGCTTTTTCTCAAAAGGAAGGAACTTTCATTCCTAACCGCTTGGATTTTCTCTGTACTATACAACACTTCGTGGAGATTGGATACAGGAAAGAAGAATTGAGCATTGGGTCGCGTAGTGACTTACGTCGCTCTTCAAAGGAGCGAGGCGAAACTCGGGAAATTCACTCCAGTGAATCACGATCGTAATGCATTTTTCAGTGTCACAACGACTGTCTTCGCTTGACGCTGAGTCTTGTACTAATTAACTCAAGGGAGGCCAAAGGGTTACTTGATGGATGAATTTCAAACCGAGGGGAGGATCCTTGCGGTAAACTTATTAGCAGGTGAGCCTAGGCGCACCAAGTTTGTTTAACAAATTCGAGAACAATTCATGCAGAGTGACTGGGAATCCCGTCAAGTGAATATTACCTTGGCTATACAGCGCTGAAACACTGTATTTTTTATTGTTAAGAAAGCATGGCCGGGGAACTTCCGCCGGGTATAATAGACAATTCAATAAATTTTGAAATTCCAACTCAACTTGGCTTTCCAAATTGAAGGGAGGAAGATGTTTTGAGGTTTCTGTCAGTTGTAGAAATGAAATTTCGATGGGATTCTGTCGAATAATTCATTTCTCCAATGAATTTACGGTTTGATTTTGACGAAGACATCTCAATTTTTTAGTGGAATTGTATATGCGACGTTTTGCGGAATACTAGGGATATCCAAGGACTTTAACGATTTTCCAGTTTAATTTCATTTGACCCTAGGTGACCGGACAAGACCTCTACATCTACTTAAGGATGTCCAAGTACTTTGGCTATTTTTGAAAAAATGTGTGTTATAACAATTACGAATTAGTTTTATAAAATTCAGCTCCTACACATCTAATTTTGTGTTTTTTTTTAAATAAAAAATGTCACAGTTCATGTTAGATACAGCAAAAATGTTTCTGAAAAAATCGAGATGATATTTTAAATATTTTAAGGATAATTTTTCTGTCTATTCTACATGAAAGGCGCAAATTTTTATATTAAACAAAAGGAAATTAGCTGTGCAGGAGTCGAATTTCAAAAAAATTATTCGTAATTATTATTGTACACAGTTTTCAACATTTTAAGCGTCTGCGGAGTGAACGAACACTAAAAAATCAATTTTTTGCACTAATTGTTCGTTTTTAGACATATAGAAGCGATCTCCAATACACGACGAATCTCACTCCAATAGCCCGCGACTTTTGAAACTCATAATAGTCTCCATAACTCACGACCAGCTCCCGAATTCTAAGATTAACCATTGTCTCTCTCCAAATTCATCTCCAGTCCCTCTTAGCCGTTTCATTTAATAATGCCACTCCATCTAAATCAATTATCTCAAAGATCAATGGTAATCGAGTCCCGAAAATAAGCTTTCAGTGAATCCATGCCAAGAATAATCATTCAAGTCACTTTAACGTTAGATTCAAGAATCATGAAACCAATCTGTCTCCAGTCATTCTTCAATCCTCCCCATCCTCACACACATTTCCACTCCACTTTCCACAGATGTTTCATCCTCTCACTCCAATAAATCTTGAATCATCTCATGAATCTTGATGGTCCTAA